AATGTGTACCTGATGATGACAAAACCTTGTCGAAACGTTGTACATTTGCTGTTATATTAAAGTTTTTCTTCATTACCCATTCAAGCCGTCTCCAGCCATTACTAGGTGGCTTCGTTGCAGATGTAGGTGAGGCAGTGAAGCCACTTAGAAATAAATCTAATATTTTTATTGAAACATATTGTCAGTGCTACAAAATAAAATAGAAAACATACTTTTTATTTATTTATTAATTGTTTTTATGATACCGGTGTTTCATCTTGAACAAATCCATTTCAAATAAACAAAACAAAATAGACGTTGATCTATAAAAGGAACTTCACATTGTTAACTTGTTTAGGTGTAATCTTTATATTACATTGTTATTTAGTTTAGGTGTAATCTTTATATTACATTGTTATTTAGTTTAGGTGTAATCTTTATATTACATTGTTACTTAGTTTAAGTGTAATCTTCATATTACATTGTTATTTAGCTTAGGTGTAATCTTCATATTACATTGTTATTTAGTTTAGATGTAATCTTCATATTACATTGTTATTTAGCTTAGGTGTAATCTTCATATTACATTGTTATTTAGTTTAGGTGTAATCTTCATATTACATTGTTATTTAGTTTAGGTGTAATCTTCATATTACATTGTTATTTAGTTTAGGTGTAATCTTTATATTACATTGTTATTTAGCTTAGGTGTAATTTTCATACTACATTGTTATTTAGTTTAAGTGTAATCTTCATATTACATTGTTATTTAGCTTAGGTGTAATCTTCATATTACATTGTTATTTAGTTTAGATGTAATCTTCATATTACATTGTTATTTAGTTTAGGTGTAATCTTCATATTACATTGTTATTTAGCTTAGGTGTAATCTTCATATTACATTGTTATTTAGTTTAGATGTAATCTTCATATTACATTGTTATTTAGTTTAGGTGTAATCTTCATATTACATTGTTATTTAATTTAAAATAATCTTCATATTACATTGTTATTTAGTTTAGGTGTAATCTTCATATTACATTGTTATTTAGTTTAGGTGTAATCTTCATATTACATTGTTATTTAGTTTAGGTGTAATCTTCATATTACATTGTTATTTAGTTTAAGTGTAATCTTCATATTACATTGTTATTTAGCTTAGGTGTAATCTTCATATTACATTGTTATTTAGTTTAGATGTAATCTTCATATTACATTGTTATTTAGCTTAGGTGTAATCTTCATATTACATTGTTATTTAGTTTAGGTGTAATCTTCATATTACATTGTTATTTAGCTTAGGTGTAATCTTCATATTACATTGTTATTTAGTTTAGGTGTAATCTTCATATTACATTGTTATTTAGTTTAGGTGTAATCTTTATATTACATTGTTATTTAGCCTTAGGTGTAATCTTCATACTACATTGTTATTTAGTTTAGGTGTAATCTTCATATTACATTGTTATTTAGTTTAGGTGTAATCTTCATATTACATTGTTATTTAGTTTAAGTGTAATCTTCATATTACATTGTTATTTAGTTTAGGTGTAATCTTCATATTACATTGTTATTTAGTTTAGGTGTAATCTTCATATTACATTATCATTTAGTTTAGGTGTAATCTTCATATTACATTGTTATTTAGTTTAAGTGTAATCTTCATATTACATTGTTATTTAGTTTAGGTGTAATCTTCATATTACATTATTATTTAGTTTAGGTGTAATCTTCATATTACATTGTTATTTAGTTTAGTTGTAATCTTTATATAACATTGTTATTTAGCTTAGGTGTAATCTTTATATTACATTGTTATTTAGCTTAGGTGTAATCTTTATATTACATTGTTATTTAG